ATGTGGATATTAATGATATTGCAAAAAAAAAAAATACACACACACAAAAATTTTTATATATATGTGTGTGTGTGTGTGTGTGTGTGTGTTAAATGTTATACATGACATTTAACACATAGCATCCAAGCTGCTTATAATGTAAATAGTTTAACAGCAGTAAAGGTTATTACAATGATAGTAGACAAAACCATTATTGTAGACGATGGTATGCATTGTAAAGTAAGACAGCACATGTTCTGAATGTAATTATAAAATGAAAGAACTTGAAATTTCAAAAAGTTAATGTATTGAATGTGTGAATTTTTGTGAATTATTAGTGGAAACCGAATTAGACCAGTGTCATAAAATCAGCTTTTATCGTCATTTAAGTGGAAAATGTCGAAGGATTTTTTTGTTATAAAATGTCCCTGGAAATTTTTGTTAATCTGCTATAACTAACTAACTCCTATAATGGGCAATAATTAATCACTTAAAACTTACACTTGAAAACAAAGTACTTAAATAATTAAAGCCAACTGTTATTAATTGTAATATATGTAAAATTTATTTATAGATGTTTTTTGTGTACCTGCATAATATGGTTAATATGTCAACAATTTGTTTTGCAAATGCCATTGTAACAACAGTATGGGCATGTTATGCATATTCACATACTCGTTAGTCACAATTGATACAAAGTATTACACCAGAGGGGTTTTAAGTTCAGCCCTTGATGAACACCTTCACCTTCATTTAGTCCTAAACATCATAATCATACATTCATCCTGTATCTCTTCTGTCATGTTTGATGTTCCTCAGCCTACTTGTCTGAACAACCAGTTGGTGTACGTGGACTGTCAGAAGGGCACCAAGGTCCAGGTGGACCGATCCCAGCGCATGCTCCGCATTGCCGACCCCGACTCGAGGTACAGCGGTTACTACAGCATGCAGAAGCAGAACAACCTGCAGGCCGACAGCTTCCACCAGACTGTGTGAGTGAGCTCCTGGCAAGAGGCCAACACTGTGTAGCTTATCGCCACTGTAGATACCTGAAGGACATCGCCACCAAACCACAGAATATCTCCAAAAATTGTCACCTGCCTGAAACCCCAAACAAAAAAGAATAACAGACAAACTTATCAAAAAAAAATACAACATAATTAACCAAACTGAATTGAATTATCATGATTTACACAAACAAAAAAGAAAAGAAAGCAGACTGGTTTTCTGGCCTTTTTCTGGATGAATTTTGTGTGTGTGTGTGTGTGTGTGTGTGTGTGTGTGTGTCTAATGTACAGTTTTGGGATTAGGACAAACTGGCTTTTGCATCAGTGCTGTCTCTCCACATTCCTGCTTCCTTGAACTGACCTTGAAATGACATGAAAATCCTGAGCGAGTCTTTCCGAGAACACGGTAGCGCCAAAGCCCTCCTATATGAAAACGAAAAGCGGAAAACTTGCCGCTTTCTGCCCTGCATGGTGGTAGATGGGACTGCTGGACTCATGTTAATTGATACGAGGAAGAGAGCAGACTGAACACCCTGGTCAGAGACTGAATTGAGTGTTTCTTTGCCCGTCTTGGACACGTTGTCTTTGCAAACCAATTTTCAGAAAGGACAATAGGAAGAAACAATGCTAAGCTGTCACCAGAGTTGTTTTATTTTATTTTATTTTGCCAAATTTAGCAGCTTTCTTCCAGCTGTAGTGCATCTGTGTATTTTATTTTTTCTGTAGCTCCTCCAGGCCATAGGCTTCTGTATTTTACAGCCGGGGGCAGATTTACATTACACTTTCGTACAAGCCTAACAATGTTTAAACTTAAAGGTTGGAAAAATGGTATAAAAGATAAAAGTTAATATAAAAGTTTAGCGATACTTATTGATTGAATATGAAATGTATGCTTTGTAAGTGCTGCTTTTCCTTTGTTCCGAGGCCTTTCCGTTTTCCAGGTTGTAAACATATAAAAAAGGCTCCACTGGTTTTCCCTGCGTCTGATCTGAACAATCTGTTGTCCCCTAGGGTCTAACAGCAAACCGATGGCTATAGATGCTTCTTTTTTTTTTTTTTTTTTTTTTGGGGGGGGAGGTGGGAATTTGCGTTACTGGTTATGTAACTGCTTCCCTTTCCATAAGCTACTTAATCATGTTACCCAAGCACCTTCCGAGTTCTTTCTCCTCTGCAGCAAACATTTTGTCTACTCCAGACATTATAGGAACACTTATGTACATATTTTATTCTACAAAAAAAAAAAAAATTACATGAAATATTGTGTGAATATATGTCTGTGTGTATGTATATGTCTTTGCATGTATGTAGGTATGTGTGTATATACACACACACATGCATGCACACATGGTTTTCTTCACATGTAAATTTTTCAACAAAAATTGAATGTATTTATGGTTCAGAAGAGAAGTTTTACTGAATGATGGGGAAATATCGAAACAGGCATTCCAGAGCCTTGTTTGAGATTTAGTCTGAGGCAGATGACAAACATCTCATTTTATTTTATTTTATTTTTGTCTTTTTTATTTTTGTTTTTTTGTTTTGTTTTGTTTTTTATGGCTGCACAAGAGTGTTTGCCGCCCTCCCAAACCCTGCACAGCTTTGGATGGAAAAAAATTTGACAAATAATGTCTCCACCATTCAAGTAGAAGATTTTCTCATAAAATTGGTTTAGACTTTTGTTTAAAGGTTGTTTCTGATCTCAGACTAAAGGTCAGAAATAGGCTGGGGTTTGGGTGGGGGTGCAAAGGAAGAATTGAAGAGTAGTGGACATGTAGTAGTTTGTCTTGGGTATATCTTAATCTATCTAAAAAAATGTCATTTGAATCATTCGTCTGGCACTTTTACCTTTTGAGTTGTTTTTTTGTTTTGTTTTTTTTTTTCCGTAAACAAATGCTTTTCATGGAAGAGTGGCCCTTTTTTGGAACCCTATGAGATCCAGTGTTATGTCCGACGTTAAATAAAATGCTTTGCCATAAAATGTCAGAGACCTGCAGGAAGTGAGAAACTGCACGGAAGGGACCTATAATCTTTTCTATATTTGCTTCTATGTGTATGTATGTACACAGCAAATTCAGTGCGGCTTTGGGTCTTATTGGATCCCATAGTCATAGCTTCAGACAACGGTCCCTCATCACTCAATCGATGGACGTAGCGAAAGAAAACTGAAAAAGTGTTCAGCGTTGACCACCTGCCAGGTGCACGTGCATTTGATGGCAAAGTGTCATACAATGAAATTTCAGACACGACTACTTATAACAACACGCTGCCGATACATAAAAACGTAGACTTCATTTTATAAAAAAAAAACTAGCAAAAACTAAGATGTTTCCTACTTTACTGCCCACAGGTTCGGTGGTTGTTACAGGATAATTTCGTATTACAGATATAGTAAAATCACTAGTAAGAAGCAACATCACAAACACCCAAATCATTGTGTTTGTTTTATTCTCTGTAATATAGAACAACAGAAATGATGAAACGTCCTGCTTGGGCAAACATCTCTCAGATTTTTCATGTGAAAAGTCACTCTTGAAAAGCATACAGAAGGCTCAGTTAAAGCTCAGTTGAAGCTCAGTTGAAGCTCTCAGCAGGATCATAAAGATATCCCACTTTATTTCCACTCGAAGCATGTTAGGACATCCTGAAATAAGATAACAGTACAATATGAACTGCCTCTTCTGCTGACATATATTGATTATATACCTTCATCTGAAATCTGTTATTTCTCGTGCCTGGATGATAGCAGTTTGTAGGCTGCTGGTTGCTCTTACAGGAGTTTTGGGAGAAATATTTCAAACAAATATACCATTCAGTGTCTTGAGAATTAAATGCATATTCTTGACCAGTTTCCCTTGATCATGTTGTCAGCTAAAAGTGCCAGCAAAACATTTACATGTATTCTGAAAATCAAATGAAATTTTATTTCATGAAAAGAGTCAGTAATATGTTAATGAATAGAAGCATACCTTACTTCAAATATTAAATTGAATTTTTCATTGACTCCGGAATCACAGGAGATGGGAGGCTGTTTAGCTGACTTGCACGGTTTGGATATCATACTGAAAACCACAGAGGTCTTTCATTTTGATCCCCTGCAGCTTTTTTTCTACAAATTGCAGGCCGACAAATGACTGATACTGTAAACAGAATAGCTTGCAATTGATCTCACAGGTGAAGCTTGAAATATTCTCAACACGTCCTCCAAGTATTGTTGTAGATACTTGAGTGTTGCTTGCCAAAACAAAGAATAGGTTGGAAAAAGAAATTTAAAAAAATAATTTATTGTTTTATGACCTTTATAATTTATTGATTAAAAAATTAAAGTTAACATATAGGAGGTTAATGATACAACTTGAAATTGTAAATTTGTTGGTCTCTCAAAGAGCATTTTAAAGGGTTTTGCTGTAATAGTCCATTGTTATTTGTCAGGTTTTTGTGGGTCTGCTGTGGCTGGTGGAAAAGTGTGAAATTTGTGGAGACCCCACTCAACTGACTGGTAATGTTCAGATTTAAACAAACATTGCATCTTCTGGAGTTATGAGATGGCACTATTCTGTACCTTGTTCCATTTCTTCTCTTATCGTTTAATTCAGAGCATTCATATCATAAATATGAATTTTTCAGTCTGTATCCTCCTGGTGTTCTTTGCTAATGTTAAAAAATAAATAAATAAAATGTGGATATTAATGATATTGCAAAAAAAAAAAAAAAAGATTTCTGAGTAAGGTAGATGAAGATATGATTTTGGAACTTCCCGTAGCACAGCATTTTTTTGCAATTTCTTGTATTTTTGTTTCTTTGCAGCACAATAAATAATTTGAAAATGGTACCTGCCTCATAGCATTCGTTACTGTACGTTTTTCTTGTATTTTCAGGTATGTTCAGATATGCTTTATTTTTGAGTATTTTTGAAGATAAACATTGCATGCAGATTTTTTTTTTTTTATAATCTGGTGCTTCGTTTACTGAAGTCTTTTCAATTTTTAGCACTAAGGAGCAGGTCAAATTCACCCAACATCTGAGAAATGCTTTCTTTCCCTTAATAGTTCCATTACATTAACGGCTCCCTTTTACCACTTCTAAATGTTAGTAACTCATTATTAACTTGTTACTCCCCTCACTGCTAACTCTGCGCCCCCCTTGCCTAGCCGGCACCCCTCACTGCTAACTCTGTGCCCCCTTGCCAAGTCAGCAGCCCCCACTGTTAAAGCGGGAGCCACATATCTAAGTGTCCCCTCTTGGTTCAATACAATCACAATATACTCTTCAAATTATAAAACACAAATTGTAAAACACAATTTAACATTAGAACATGTGCAAATTAAGAGTAACACAATAAAAACTAGTAATAATTTCTTCTGTTTTCAAAAAAGTTACTGATATCTAGTTGGATGGCTAGATGAACACCGCTTCAGTTCCCAAACTTCTCCTCAGGGGCACCTCAGCCGTTCCATGATTTTGTTAAATTTCACCACCAGCTCAATTAAATAATTAAATAAATTGGTTTTAAAAGTCAGTGACAGATTGACTAGCTGTATGAGGTGTGCTAGTGGCCAAGTCAAAAAATATATGGCTGCACTGGACGGTCGCTGCAAATACTGGGGTGATTTTAGCAGAGGTTCTGAAATGGCTAAGCTGACACACTTTGACAGGCATAATATCATAGTTTTACACCAACACAAGGATAATCTAAACATCATTTTCTTTGCCTGCCTAAGACTTTTGCACAGTACTGTGTGCGTGTGTGTGCGTGTGTGTGTGTATATATATATATATATACATGCATTGTTACACTTACATCTGAAGTAGGACTTCCCCAGAACCATCATAGTTTGTTAGTATACCAGTAGTTTGAACTACAGTAGTCCCAGGTGTGTTTAGACTTTCACAGCAGGAAGCGTGCAAAAACTCATTGTAATATTATTCCCAAATGTGACAGTTGGGATGATGGATGATAATACATTATTCATTTATTATTTAGGCTATTCATATAGTAATACCCATAACAATAATATCAACTATTCCATTATAGTGATTGTGTCAAAATAATAATATGATACACTTCTTGTACACTGTCAGAAAAAATGGTACAGCCCTGATTTTGTAGCCCAAGGTACAAACAGCATGAATGCGCCCCAATGGTACAAAAGTTCCTCAGAGTCTATTTCTGTACCTTAAAAGGTACCCTAGCTACAGGTAAGTGTACAATTGGCTGACCCCACAGCTCCAGTGACAAGTAATTATACTCTCAGAGGAACAAATTGGCACTTTTCCTCTGACAGTGTGGAGGAAAAAATAGAATTATCAGCTATTACGACTCACTTAGTGAAATAGGCTCTATCCGTGGATGCTTATTTTGTTTTGTTTTAATTTACTCACATCATAAACACACATAAATTTCTTGTCTGACAATATTTCAATGCAGTGTGTTAGTGGCTTAGTGGGATAATCGAGAACTGAGGAAACCTCACCATGATACAGCCATCAGTGATGCTCTTTTTTTCATGTCATAATGGCAATGAAAGCTCAGTGATTAAGAATTGATTAATTGTTTTTAGCCATTAATTTCCTTATTTTTCCCTTATTTCCCTTATTTTATTTGCCCCATTTAATTTTATTTTTTCATTTAATACTGTGTGTATGCATGTGTATGTGTAATGTATATATATACATATATATATGTGCTGCATGATAAATTGTTTCCGCATTGTCATCATGATGTGCACTAATCACCTTGCATTCGTTGGCACCGGTTTGCGTCTGTTGACACATCTCTTGGCAACAACCTACTTGTTTCATACACTCTATTGGTGGGTAAGTTCTATTCACAGTAGTTTATTCTGGGTAATTTTATCTCCTTTTATGTTTCATAAATGTTACAGTATTACTTGCTGAAATTTCATATATAGTGATGAGTTATTGTGATGTGATATCATGCAGGATACACTATATGTAGTGGGACACCTGGCCATTACCCCCACAGGCACCCCGTCCTAAATCTATAGGCATCAATATCAGGTTGCCCCCCCCCCCCCCTCCTTTGCAGCTATAATAGCTGGCACTCTTCTGGGAAGGCTTTCCACTGGATTTTGGAGTTTGTATGTGGGAAATTTTCCCCATTCATCCAGAAGAGCATTTGTGAGGTCAGGCATGGATGCTGGACATGAAGGCCTGGCTCACACACTTTTTAGTTCATCCCAAAGGTATTAAATGGGGTTTAAGTCAGTGCCCTGTGCAAGCCATTCTTCCACACCAAACTCACCCTACCGTGTCTTTGTGGACCTTGCTTCTGCACTGGGGCACAGTCATGCTGGAACAGGAAAAGGCCGCCCCCAAACTGTACCCACAAAGTTATGAGCATAGAATTGTCAAAAGGGGCCCAGCCCAACCCCCGAAAAACAGCCTCATACCATTGCCCCATCTACACCAAACTTTAGAGCTGGCACAATGCAGTCAGGCAGGTAATGTTCTCCTGGCATCCGTTAAACCAGACTCATCCATTAGACTGCCAGACAGAGAAGTGTGATTTGTCTCTCCACGGAACACATTTCCACTGCTCGAGAGTCCAGTGGAGATGTGCTTTACACCACTCCATCCAACGCTTGGCATTGTGCTTGGTGATGGTAGGTTTGCCTGCAGCTCCTCGGCCATGGAAGCCCATTCCATGAAGCTCCCAGCGCACAGTTTTTATGCTGGGGTTAGTGCCAGAGGAAGTTTGGAACTCTGCAGTTAATGAGTCAACAGAGCTTTAGCGACTTTTACACACTATGTGCCTCAGAACTTGGCAACCCTGCTCTGTTATTTTACTTCGTGGCTGAGCTTCTGCTGTTCCTAAACACTTCCACTTTGCAATAATACCACGTACAGACCATGGAATATCTATCAGGGATGAAATTTCAAGAACTTATTTATTGCAAAGGTGGCATCGTATAACGGTACCATGCTTGAATTCACCGGGCTCTTCAGAACCACCCATTCTTTCACAAATGTTTGTAAACCAGACTGCATGGCTAGGTGCTTGATTTTATACAGCATTGGCAATGGATCTGAATGACACATCTGAATTCAATGATTAAGTGTTGCGTCTCAATACTCTCCTGCATATAATGTATATTTATATATGTAATGAATAAGTAATAAGTAACAAAAGTGGTTAAACAACATCCTTTCCAATCATACTATACTCGTGATCCAAGAAATGCATAAAAAAGCAAGATTATTGCACATTTTCAGCTCACTCACATGATGTTGCCCACCCACCCCCCGATTGCATTTCCTGCCATCAAAAATGCCACCAGGAAATAACCGTAGCTCGAGAGCAGCACACTACACAACTTAACGACAGTGTTTACGAAATTTAGTTCGAACTATGGTTTTGGGTAGCCCCAGTGTTGTTTAATGATGGTTTGTACTATACATGTTTAAACTTTAAACTATAGTTTTGGGAAACACTTGCATTGCAACTGCATAGTCCCAACTGTATATTTTGCCAGTGTAGTCAGCAACTGTGCTTTTGCGAAATGCACCACAGGATGGAATAATGTTGCTGGTCTCTATTCAAAATCTGTAACAGAGTCTTCATTCTAGTGCACGATAAAAGTATTTTGATACAGATGGTATTATGTCATTCTATGTATTATTTTGAAAATATACTGATATACCGTAAACATTTGATATACCACTCAGCCCAAATGGTCCATCTCGTTTCATTGTCTGGGGTTTCATTGTCCCCTGGAAACCTCCATTGTTTTGAGAGTGGATTTGCAGTGTTTTTTGTTTTGCATGACTTTTCAGAATTCGTAAGTATTTTCTGACTTTGTAGCACATTGACACTTAGCCGCCATAGCGTGCGGATCAGTGACCAGCAGTAGTCCCTTGTTCTGGATGTGCTACTCTTCTTCAGAGACTGACCTCACCATACAGCATCCTGACACTGATACTGTACCTGTTGAATTAAACGTCTTCGGTTCTCGAGGGTGGAGAGTTCTAAGCGGAATGTATAGAATTCTCAGATATGGTGCATACAGATAGATTGGCTAACGCAGGATTTTTTTGGTGTTTCTTTTAAGCAGTTCACATGGAACATGGAGAGCAATGTTCTTACGTACAACGCAAAAAAAAAAAAAACCCACATAATTACCTTCATTTCATTTCATCCATTTCCCTGATGACGTCCCCTGTGAAAATTACAGCATTTTAAAGAAAGCAATCAGGGAGACTGTTTTGTTGTATTTTTAGTCACCAAATTATTTGAATTGTTCAGAATAACATTAATTTCCATGTTTATGTTTGCTGTGTTTGATGCATCTGTTTATGTATAAATTTTAGAATGTAAATGTACCTATTTACTAGTTTGACAAAAACATTGTGCCATATGTCTGAACAGAATGTTGTTTTTTTACGCCGGATATTACTTTGGAACATTTAGCTTGATAGCCACATTTCATCTATCGCTTTCATTTTCCCACAGGACTGCAATTTGAGCAACACTGGCTTTTGCCACATTTAATGATTGTACTGCTTTGAGATTTCAGGAGTTGGTATTCTGTGTTTTTCAGGTTTCATATGGTTCCTCTCTAGTCTGGAACACTTACCAAAATCTCAGTTGAAGCAGATCAAAGCTCACCGCGTCATGTCATGCTGGATAGGACGAAGCTATTTGTCAAACAGGGGCTGGTAGATGTTCTCGACTGTAAAAATGGAATAAAGAATATAAAATGTGCCACAGGAGAGGGAACTATAAGTGAGGTACTCTGCAGAGGTCTTCTTAGATGAGGGAACACACATCAATATGCTTATTAAAAATTGCATCTTCTCAAGATCATTT